CTGCTGTTCTCCTCCTAATATCACTCGCCTGGAAAGCGAACATTGAAGGCACGCAAAACCGCGAGGAGAAAGCAGGGGGCGAGAGAAAACGAAAAGAGAAAAAACCGGAGGCGAAACTGGGAGTCCGAACTGGGAGGCGAAACGGGAAGGCTAACGAAAGCGGGAGACGAGCGAGACCAAGAGGCGAGCGAAATCGAAGAAATGGAACCGAGACACGAGCGAAATAAAACGAAGAAACCATGAGGCGAACTACACACGCTCACCTCCCGCTTTCGCTCGCCTCCCGCTTTCGCTCGCCTCCCGCGTTCGCTCGCCTCCCGCGCTCGCTCGCCCCCAATCGCTCGCCACGGGCTTTCGCTCGCCTCCCGCTTTCGCTCGCCTCCCGCGGTCGCCCGCCTCCCGGTCTCTCGCACATCCCGCTTTCGCTCGCGCCCCACTTTTCGACCCGCCCACACTTTCGCCTGGCTCCCGCGTTCTCTCGCCTCCCGCTTTCGCCTCCCGCTTTCGCTCGCCTCCCACTGTCGCCTGTGGCTCTCGTTCGCCTCTCACATCCGCCCCTCCCCTTCCCTCGCCTCACGCTTTCGCCTCCAACAATCGCTCACCTCCCGCTTTCGCCTCCCGCTTCCGCCCGCCTCCCGGACTCGCGCGCCTCCCGTCTTCGCGGGCCTCCCGCGCTCGGTCGCCTCCCACCTTCGCCCGCCAGGCGCTCTCGCTCGCCTGCCGCTGCCGCTCGCCCGCCGCTATCGGTCGCCTCCCGGTTTCGCGCGCCCCCCGCGTTCGCTCGCCTCCCGCGCTCTCTCGCCTCCGCGATCCCTCGCCTCCCGCTTCCGCTCGCCCCCCACCATTACCGAGAGGCCCCACGAGGCCCCGAGGGACCTCGAAGGGGCGCCCAAGCGGCCCCAAAGATGCCCCAAGAGAACCCCCAGGAGGCACCCCAGGCGCTCCAAGAATCCCTCACGAGAGCGAGCAACGGGCCCCCAAGACGCGCCAAGAGATCTCCAAGCGGCTCCCAAGGCGACACCCCAAGAGACCCAAGGAGACATCCAAGGGGCCCCTGGCCCGCCGAGGCCCCCCGAGGTGTCCCGATGCTGCCGCGCTCCCCCGATAATGGCAGCTCCCCTGGGAATCGTTCTTGGATGGGCTGGTGGGGAGACACGAAGCGCCAAGGGTCTTGTCCTGTCTGCCTGCTCTGTCTTCGGCCTTACGTCCAACCCTTGCCGGAAGTTTTCCATATCGCGCACGAGCGGACAGCTCCGGCTGTGTCTGCTCGGAACACCTAGCGAGTGCCGAGCACAGTACCTGTGGTACGACACGCAGACGTGATCTCTCCCGATAGTGAATCACTGGGCCAGCAAGGCGAACGACAAGCATGTCGAACGACCTCGGTTCTTAAATTATCGCTTCGGGGGACGTCAACTGAGCCTATGCGACGACTCACTAGAACTGCCCCCGCGCGCCAATGTCCTTCATCGAATGTAACGAGACCAGAACGAAGATGGCACTGCTCGTCATCCATACCTCGGCGGACCACAGCCTGTACCCTTCGGGCTCCATGATCGCCTGCAGGTCCCTCGGCTTCAAAGGCCAAGGCCGCTTGCCACTACACTCGATGAACCATAGGCCGACCTTCACGCTCCAACCCATTGTCCCCAAGACCTTGAGCTCTCCGCCCTCCACGTCGAGAGAGAGAGCAGATCGATCTGGTCGGTTGAAATGAGGTGGACCGGGAGCTCCGTTGGAAGTGTGCAGGGCCTTGGAACTGCCGTCCTCAAGGAACTCACTGGTCTTGGTTTCTGAACGCCAAGGCGAAGCCCTGGCCGAGTGCTCAGGGCGATGCCCAGAGCGCAGGACGGTCCGGGGTGATCGCCTCAACTTGTTTTCCAATATTTGATACTACGTACGGAGTTGTAATCAACCCACGTCAACCATGTTCAAATCCTACGGAGGGCAAGTTCAGCGTCGCGGCAGGTGTCGTCCTTCCTGAGTCCTTTGGGATTGCAGCCGAGCTGGCCCTCAGGACACACTGATGTTGGGCGCACCCGGCCATGTTTGCACGAAGTCGTGGAAACCCTTGTGATCCTCGGCTTCCACATCGCGGTCCTGGTGGCCTTGGAATTACGTGACTCTGCGTGCCCTCCAGACGCTGGACGGCGCCGTGGGCGCCCTCCAGATATTAAGCACGGGCCTGCCTCAGGCCGCAGGCCCCGCGATGCCTGCGCGGAGGCACCCGCCGCAGCTGCATGCTTGCAGGCACCGCTCCTCTCGGGAGCCGAAGCCTGCAGAGCGGACGGCTGCGGGCCCGGGAGGTGGCTCCCGAGGTCGGGGTGCTTGCGTGCCACCCCTGCCTCGCCTCAGCGGGCGCCCGGCGCAACTTCCTCTCGGCTGTTGCTCGCTCGCTCCTCCTCCTGCTCCTCCTCCTCCTCCTCCTCCTCCTCCTTGTCCTCCTCCTGCGCCTCCTGCGCCTCCTCCTCCTCCTCCTCCTCCTCCTCCTCCTCCTCCTCCTCCTCCTCCTCCTCCTCCTCCTCCTCATCCTCATCCTCATCCTCATCCTCGTCCTCCCCAATCCCTTTCCTAATGAATTCGCCGGCCCAACGGGCCGTATGGCGTGCTAAGATCTCCGGTAACTGGTTAACAATATTCTATTTCGCGCGTGCGGGGCGGCCCCGGGGGGTCCCCGGGCGAAAAGTACCCCGGCAAGGTCCCGGCAAGGTCCTGGCAGGTCCGGGTCAGAGATGCCGGACCGGGCATTTTTTCGACACCCCTCACGAGGATCGTGGCCTCCGAGGGGGGAGCCGCAATCGACTATCCCCCCTCCCGCCCCAAGAGGCCCCCAAGAGCCCCCCAAGAGGCCCCGGGGGCCCCCAAGACGCCGCCAAGGAGCCCCAAGAGACCCCCAAGAGGTCCCCAAGAGGCCCCCAAGAGGTCCTGAAGAGGGCTCCAGGGCCGGCGGAATGAGCGAAGCGATTAAATAACTCCTGCCCGTCACACCCCCAGACGTGTCAGTAAGGCTGGTCGGGCGTTGCGCCTGAGACTTCCTCACCATCCTCAACCCTGCAGCTTGAAGGCGTCGAGGATGGGAGGAAGGTCGTTGTCAACATGTGGCTCTCACCTCGGTGCCGCGCACACTCGTGTTAAACACAGACTACAGCTTCAGACAGGAAGGAGGACCGTCTTTAAAATGTGGCTCCCGCACGAGCGCGGCAAACAATCGACTTACAAAGTTCGCAACCGTTTAAACATGGAAGGAGGTCAGCTTTCAAAATGCGGTTCTCGCCTCAGCGCCGCGAACAATCGACTTACAATATCGCACGAGCTTCAAAAGTGGAGGGCCCAAATGTTCAAAGTTTGACTCTCGCCTTAGGGCCGCGCATGTTGGTATTACAAGTCTGCAATAGCTTCAAGTTTGAATGGCGGTTCCTTTTCAAAATGTGTCTCGCCCTGCGCCGCGCACACTAGTCTTAACAATGTGCTGCCGCAGCTAGGATAGAGGGCGGTTGTGTTCAAGGTTTGGTTCTCGCCTGAGCGCCGCGCACATTCACTTGAAAAGGTCCCCACAGTTTCAAAGACGAACTAGGGGTCGTTCTTTCAATGCGGCTCTCGCCTTCGCACCGCACACGTTCGCCTGAAAAGCTTCCTACAGCTCTGAAGATGGAAGGGGGGCTGGTGTCAGTGTGTGGCTCTCGCCTTGGCGCAGAGCACAATGGTTTCTGATGTCTGCAACCGTTTCAGGAATCGAGGGGCGACTCCTTTTCAAGGTGACGCCTTCGCCCTCAGCGCCGCGCGCATGCGTCCTGCGATCTTGCAGGAGCTGCAAGATTGAAGTGGGGTCGTTTCCTACAGGGTGCCCTAGACCCAGCATCGCACACTTTGGTGTTGCGCGCGTGCACCAGTTGCGAGGGCGGGCGGATGCGGCTCTTTTCCACAGTCGGGTCCTTGCCTTAGCGCCGCGCAGAGTCGTCTTAAACGCTTGCAGCAATTACATCTTCGGTCTTCAGGGCAATAAAACTGACCACATGTAGCAACTGCACGCGTAGATGGCGGTTCCGTTGAAATATGCTCTCGCCTGAGGCTTCTTCGAAGTGCATGACAGGAAGCGTAAACTTGTGCAACCGTTCTGCTGGTGGGGCCTGCCCATGTTCGTCAAAGACAGACCACTGGACAATTCGTTGAACTGTATTATCATACCAGTTCGCATCACTTACTATCCGCTGGAAGGGTGGAAGACAAGTCCTTTTCAAACGGGGTCTCGCCTGAATGGCGGGCCCATCGGGCACTGGTCGTTCACGGGGGCATTTCTTGTGACGAGAAGAATGACCTGCAGGGACTGTGAGGAAGGGGCTTGGGACGCTCGTAGGGACAAGAGGGTGTATTGCAGCATCGGTGATGCATCTTGGGCTTGCTCTGGTCCTCCTCTTCCTCCTCTTCCCCGTCGTCCTCCTCCGTGCCCCTCCAACTCCTCGGAGACTCGAGGCCTCCAAGAAGCTGGAACGTCTGTCATGAACGCTGCCCGCCTCTCCGCCTCCCTCTCGCCCTACAGTGCTTAAGAGGCCCCAGGACACACAAACAAATACACACAAATAAGAGTATCCCCCATATTTTCCCATATTTTCTTGGTTTTTGTCTTCCCACCACTTCCCATATTTTCCGATATTTTCCTAGGAATCGACGATTAAATGTGTCTGTGTGTTTTTTCCCTTCCTGAAGTGCGGGCGCGGCCGCAAGAAACCCTCGCAAGAATCCCAACCCTGAAAGCCCGCGCGCGAAGTGCGCCTGAGGGGAAGCCGGGAGCACCCTGAACGCAGCAGCTTCTTCAACGGCTGCGGGAAGTCACCGCAGCAGCGCGCCGAGCGAAGAAACCCAGGATACCCTGACGAAAAGCACATGGCTTCTTGATGCGCGCCCCCACTGTACTCCTCCTCCTCCTCCTCCTCCTCCTCCTCCTCCTCCTCCTCCTCCTCCTCCTCTTCCTCCTCCTCCTCCTCCTCCTCCTCCTCCTCCTCCTCCTCCCACAATCCTCCTCCCCCGCCCCCGCCGCCTGACTCAAGCCTCCCAGACGGCCCCGTCTCGGCGAGCATCGCAGGCTGGCCTGCCGCCACAGGGGTCGCTGGCCCGGGTCGCCGAGACAGCGGCGGCAAGCTTCCGTGCGCTCCTTTCCAGCGCAAACACTCGCCCGCAACAGATCACCTGAACGAGTCGGCCGCCAGAGGTCGAGGGACCTTACAATCCTATTGCCCCCCTGGGGGGGGAGGGGGGGGAGCGGGCAGGGGGCGGGGAGAGGGGATCTTGGCATTCACAGCCCAAGCTCATTCGTAGTCACCCCCAGGACTGAACCTAAACGGTGTTTTTCGTGTTCGTTTTGTTTTCGTTTTCCCTCGTGTTGTCTTCGATCCGCCTTTACCGCAAAACGAAGTCGAAACGAAAACGGCCCACGAAATCGCCAAAACACCGTTTACGTCCAGCCCTGGTTACCCAGACCCCCTCTTGCTGTGAAAAACACTCGACGGGAGGCGTTTCGCAGTTCTCGTCCTCTGGGGACCCTCGCCAGGCCGCAGAACCATCAAACAAAAACTCAGGATGAAGATTGCCGGCGAGCGAGGGGGGGAAATGAGAAGGAGAAGACCTTCTCAGAATGCGGCGGGACTTCTCAGAAGCCCTCGCGCATTCTGAGAAGTGTTCTGTGTCTTCGGGGAAGGCCGCGGGACTTCCGAGCCTTCTGAGAGGGCCCGCCACTTCTCACTTCCTCCCTGGGCTCGCCGCCGATAAGAACTGGTCCAGCTGATCCCGGGAAAGGGGCAAAACCTTTGGGGAACAGCGTTACAAAAAAACGACGTCAGAGTCTGGATGCTGCTGAGCCGAAGGCAGCTCGTGCCCCTGGCGCGCGTAGACACTAAAACGACAATACTTGGGGATCCACAGATCGTAGCTGGACGTAAATCTCCAGCGCACGGGTCATCTGGTAAGTCATCTCACGAGCCCGGCGGGAGACTACACACGAATGGCATCAGCATACTGCGTGGACGAAAATCGGGCGCATGGCAGAACACTACTCTTCGGGACGGCACGAGCGGAGGAGGAGGGAATGCCTAGTGGACAGAGGTAAGGCGCTTTGGCTCACCCTCCGGGTACCGGTTAAACTCGGCCGACTTTCTGAGCGGGATCCTCCCGAGCCCGATGCTCAGCCGGCACAGCTGCAGCGTGTTGCGCAGGAGCATGGCGATGGTCATCGGCCCAACGCCGCCAGGCACAGGCGTAATCAGCGACGCCACCTGCTCCGCCTCCTCGAAGTGAACGTCGCCAACCAGACGGTACCCAAGTTTTTTTGTGGCGTCGTCTTTGGCGTTGATGCCAACGTCGATGACGACGCAACCTGTCGGGGGGGCGTCAGCCATCCACCTCACCGATCCTGGCCTGAGGTCGGGCATGTCCCCCTGCAGGCGGATCTTGAGCGGAAAATCGAAAATAGTCAAATGTAAAAAATACACATATCACCATACATAGTAATCAAAACATCGTCCCCAGACTATTTTTTCAAAACTATTTTTGAAGATTCCCCCTGTAGAGGGACAGGCCCGACTTCGCCCCTGGCCAGGCACCTCCTGGGCCCGGGCGCGGCGTGCACCCAGCCAAGAAGGCACGCGCACAGGTTCCCGGGCCAGGGGGCGGCCCGGCCAGGACTTTGGGACGCCCGAAATGGGTACGGAAAAACGGATACAATGCCCGACAGCAAATGTTTAAAGAATTATACACCGATGCTTTTTTCCGGTCCCGCACTGATTCGCACGAGAAAGCGGATTATGGTGTATACGGCATCCTGGTGTATACATGTTTATACATGTTTCGTTGTTTCCCCAGGAAAGCGGAGGGGAAAGTATACACCACACCACCCCTACGTCGTCCCCGACCCTCAAAAAAAGTCCTGGGATTGAAAAACCGCCCGCCACTGGTAATGTATATGCTCCAGTTTCCGAATGTTGTCCCAAATCAACAGCGGCTGCTATTGGGCAGGCGGCCTTCTGTCTTAAGTGGACACAGGCCGCGGCGGCGCGGACCGCGAGCCCTGTTCAAAATAGACAGGACATGCTGTTGGGCATTGTACCCTTGCTTTCCGTGACCATTTCGGTCCTCCCGAGGCGAGGTGACCAGCTTGGATGCCACCCGGGGGCCTGGCTTGAGCCAGCTCCCGCGAACATACTCTGCCTGTCTGGTGGTGCACCAAATGAGGCGGGTCCCCAAAGATCCAATGCATTGAAAAGATCAAGACGGAGGACTTTCGCTGATTTCAGCCCCTGGGGGCACTTGCCGGGCCCTGGGACCGTCAAGAAACGACTCAGGACGAAAAGCCGGTCCCGGAGAATGGGTCGAGCCTTCCCGGGACCTGTCTTGAAAAAATCACGACATCGGATCTCTGGGTCTTTGGAGTCCCGAAACGGTGCGGTGGCAGACCGTGCGGTGACATCGAAGACCCCCAAGGCCTCACCGCACGGTCCGTCAATGCACGGTTCTGGGACCCCGGATGCCCCAGTCGCCGGAGACGTCCTCGGAGAACGACCCGAGTCCCAAAACCGTGCGGTGACCTCGAATCCCCGCCGACTCACCACACGGTGTGGTCACCACCCCATGTGGGGGCCCCCGAGGGTCTGGGGGGGGGAACGGCCTTCCGGAAAGGCGGGGGTGCTTCTGTGAACTCCGTCGTGGAAGGCAGAAGAGCCACCCTCCTAAGAGCCACCCCGGCCGGCGGAGCCCTGTGGTCAAGATGAACCGAGCAGGGCAGGACTGCGGAGGAAACGAACGCCCAGTGTTTGGTGAACGCCAATGAGGGGGAAACGGGGTGGCGTGTCCATCGCTTGACTCAGGGGTGCCGGAGGCTTCTGAGAAGGCCTCTTGGAAAGCGGGAGGGCCTCTGAGAGACCCCCCTGACTTGCCCGCCTCGCCCCGCCCCGACCAAAATCCTCTCGACAGAAGGATTCCGAACCCCTCCCGGGGCCCATCCAGGGCAGCCTGTCGAGCCGCATCCGGTCGCAGCGAGGAGGCACCCCAGAGGCACTCGGGAGCCTGCGAAGCGACGGCGCCGACGCCGCCGCCGTGCTCCCTTGTTGCGCGCCGCCGAGCCTTGCCCAGCGCCGCGATCAGGATGTCTGCCTGCCTAATCTTGGCCTCGACGTCCTTGGTCCGCGAGTGGCAGACGGTCACGGTGGCGTTCATGGACTGCAGCAGCGCGGCGACTGGCATGCCCACGATGTTCGAGCGCCCGAGCACAACCTGCGTGAGAGACCGTCGTTCATCACGCTCGTCAGTCGCATGCCATTTCTCCATCCCCCTCCCCTTGCAGACATGGCACCACGAAAGAGTCGCGACGGCGGATGTGCCATCGGCTTGAGCGCAGCCAGGTTTGGCTCCAATCGATGCGTTTCACCAAGACGCCGACGTTAGCATCCCCAGTATGGCGAGGAGCATGCCCGAGGAGGAGGAGGAGAAGGAGGAGGAGGAAGAGGAGGAGAAGGAGGAGGAGGAGGAGAAGCGGCAAGAGGAGGAGGAGAAGCAGCAAGAGGAGGAGGAGGAGGAGGAGGAGGAGGAGGAGGAGGAGGAGGAGGAGAAGGAGAGGAGGAAATGCGCCAGTGGTAATCGCGACGATCCGAGCCCAGACCTCCGATGATTTTCCCATCCTGTGGTGTTCGGCCCTCGTTTTGAATCAGTGGCGCCCTGCGTCTCCTCCTCTCCTCTCCCCCCTCCTCCTACCCATCCTCCCCCCTCCTCCACCCCACGTTGGCGCGCCCCTCACACGATTGCGTTCGCGTGCCGCCGCCACCCCACTTTGGCGCTCACCTCACACGCGTCGTGGCCCCATGAGGAGCTCAACCTAAGGCCCCATGGACTGCGCTCGCATGCCTTATTCGAAATATGTCGGCGCACTCATCACACGCGTCGCGGCCCCATAGGGAGCTCCACCTAAAGCCTCAGTAGTTGCGTTCGCATGCCGCCGCCAGCCCACTTTGGCGCACAGCTCGCACGCTTCGTGGCCCCATAGGGAGCTCCACCTAAGGCCCCAGTGGCTGCGACTGCATGCCGCCGCCAGCCAATTTTGGCGCACTCTTCACGCGCTTCGTGGCCTCATAAGGACCTCCACCTGAGGCCCCAGTGGCTGCGTTCGCATGCCGCCGCCACCCCACTGTGGCACACCCCTCACACGCTTCGTGGCCCCACACGGAGCTCCATCTAAGGCTCCATGGGCTGCGTTCGCATGCCTTATCCGAAATAAGTCGGCGCATCGATCACACGTTTCGTGGCCCCAGGAGCTCCACCGAAAGCCTCAGTAGTTACGTTCGCATGCCGCCACCACCCCACTGCGGCGTACACCTCGCACGCTTCGTGGCCCCGGAGGGAGCTCCACCTAAGGCCCCAGCGGTTGCGGTCGCATGCCTTCTCCAGACCATCTCGGCGCACCCTTCACGCGCTTCGTGGCCCTGTAGGAGCTCCACCCAAGGCCCCAGTGGCTGCGTTCGCATGCCGCCGCCACCCCACTTTGGCGCTCACCTCACACGCGTCGTGGCCCCATAAGGAGCTCAACCTAAGGCCCCATGGGCTGCGCTCGCATGCCTTATCCGAACCATTTCGGCGCACTCATCACACGTTTCGTGGCCCCATAGGGCGCTCCATCTAAAGCCTCAGTAGTTGCGTTCGCATGCCGCCGCCAGCCCACTTTGGCGCACACCTCGCACGCTTCGTGGCCCCATAGGGCGCTCCACCTAAGGCCCCAGTGGTTGCGGTCGCATGGCTTCTCCAAACCATTTCGGCGCACTCTTCACGCGCTTCGTGGCCCTGTAGGAGCTCCACCGAGGACCCCGCGGGCAGGTATCTCATGCGTGACAGCGCCCATGTCGGCACACGCCTCTCACATGGCCTTACAGGGAGCTCCACCTGAGGCCCCTTTGGGAAGAATCGCATGCGTGACTTTTGGCACACCCGTCGCACGCTGCGTGGCCCCATAGGGAGCTCCGCCGAAGTCCCCAGCGACAGGACAGGGATCGGATGGGTCTATTCCAGCACACCCCTCGCACGTTTCGCGGCCCCCCAGGGAGCTCACCCGAACGCCCCATCGTCAGGAATCGCATGCGTGACCGCGCCCATTTTGGCACACCTCTCGCACGTTTCGTGGCCCTGTAGGAATTCCACCAAAGGCCCCGCCGCCTGATGCTCCACAGAGGGCACCCTGCTGCTCCCCAGGGCCGGGCCGACAGACGTTCAGATCAGCCGTTTACGGGTTGCACCAGATGTAACCAGTTGCGGCTGAGCCCTGCGACCCCATCAGCAACGTCGCCCCGTCCTCCTCTTTCTCACGCACGCCTTTGTCCTTGCTGGCCCCCTCGCTCGATTTCCAGCCGTCTGGCGGCACTCGCAGCTGCATATCGTTGGATCCTTCGCCAGGCGAATTCGTTTTCAGTGCGGGGCCCCAAGAAGTTTCGACCCTTTCGCCAGGACCGGCGTTTCATCCTGAGCCGTCCTGGCGACGGCCCCCAGAGGCCGAAAATGACAGAACTAAGGAAAAACTGTGCGTCGGGACGCCCCCACGGCGCGAAGGGTTCCATACGGGGGTCTCCCCGAGCCACCGTGTCCTTGCCGCTGACGTCGACCCCGCTGCGCTGCAGCAGCTCGATGCAGCCCGCCGGCGTGCAGGGCACGGCCATGGGCGGGCTGCCGCCCTTCAGGCAAAGGTTGCCAATGTTCAGCGCCGAGAAGCCGTCGGCGTCCTGCACCCAGGAGGAGCAGCAGCAGCAGCAGCAGCAGCAGCAGCAGCAGCAGCAGCAGCAGGGCGAGGAGCAGAAGGGCCGAGGATCGGGGCTCGAGGCTCGAGGTTCATATTGGGCCCTCTGGGGCGCTCTCGTGGCCACGGTTGGATCCGCCTTCCCCCTCGAAATTCTGCTCGAAACGGCCCCTTGGAAAGGTTTGGGGGCGATTTGGGAAGGAGGAAAAGGGGAGGAAGAGGAAGGGGAGCTTGACGAGCACCCTGCCAGCCACCACCCTTACTCTCTGATGGGAATGGACTCCACCCTACTATTATCCTTCGGGTGCCATCCACGCTTCGCAGTTAATCAGTACTCCGACGCTTTGGCGAGAGGGCGTGCGCACTCTCCTCGGAGTCCCTTAGATTGTCCTAGGGTGCTGAAAAAATTGCACCGCATGCAAGGGATCGAAGTCTGTTTGCAGCGCACTCCAGACCGAGGCGAGAGTGGCCACGAGCAGACACGGAGCGAGCCACAGGAGCCAGGTCTTCGGCACACCCCACATGTGGGGGCTGAGAGGCCTGCCCGCGAAATCTGAAGCACTCGCTGAATTCAAAAGTGTTGCACCAGCTCCACCCGTGCTCCCCAGCTGGGGCTTCGCAAACTGACCCTGGCAGGGCAAGGAGGGGCAACAAAAGCCACACCCATTGAGGCCGAGGCGAGGCCAAGACGGGAGGAGCTTGGTCATTCCACCCCCCATCCACCCCATCCACCCCTCCTTCCCCCCCCCCCTCCTCCTCCTCCTCCTCCTCCTCCTCCTCCTCCTCCTCCTCATCATCATCAGCAGCAGCAGCAGCAGCATCATCAGCATCAACAACAACATCAGCATCATCATCAGCAGCAGCATCATCAGCATCATCATCCTCATTATCACCATCACCATCATCCTCATCATCACCATCGCCATCACCATCACCATCACCATCACCATCACCATCACCATCATCATCATCATCATCATCATCATCATCATCATCATCATCATCATCATCAGCATCAGCATCAGCATCATCAGCATCATCATCATCCCAAGGAGGAGGAGGGTGCTAAGGAAGAAGATAATGAAGAGCAGGACAGAAGGAACAGAAGGAGCAGCAGCAGTTGCACGAGCGGAAGGAGGAGCGGGAACAGGAGGCTCCTTCTCCACCGCGATGGACTCCAGAACGGTGGCCTCGTCGATGTGGGACGGCAGCGGGAGCTGCACCAGAATCGCGTGTACCGAAGGGTCCTCGTTCAGCTTCTTCACCTCAAGCAGCAGAGCTTCCTGCGTGACGGTGTCGGGAAGGTCCACGTCGATCGAGTGGAAGCCGACCTCCGCGGCGGCCTTCTTCTTGTTCCTGACGTACGACTGCGAGTCCTTGCGGCTACCTACGAGGATGACCGCCAGACCTGGCACCACGCCGTGCGAGCTCTTGAGTTCGCTGACCATCTCTTTTACCTCGCCGCGCACGTCCTCAGCGATCTTCTTCCCGTCTATGCGCTTCGCCTTCGGCCTGGACGACGGCGACGGCGACGACCCCGCGACCTCTCCCGGGGCGCATCCTGGCAAGGATCGAGGCGGATCCAGCCTCGGCCACGGCGGCGCTGCAGAAGGCCCCCCCCCGAAAAGAACACCCCGCCGACCCTGGAACCCGCGATGCCCGAGCTGTCGAACCCCAGACATGCGACGTCCTGATTTTTTCCAGACGGCATCCCTGGCAGTCCCGACCCTTTCCCCGGGACCGGTGTTTCGTCCCGAGTCGTCTCTTGACGGCCCCGAGGCCCGGCGAGGGCCCTCCAGGGCCCGAAAATGGCCGAAAACCTCCCGCCCTGATTTTCTGCGACGCGAGCACGTCTGGGACCTCGAACCTCGAGCGTGACCCCTCTGCCCTCGGACGCGGCGGCCTGCCGCGGCTGCCGCCGCCATCGCCCCGGCGCCTCTCGGCGGCGCGCGCGCCGGGAGGGCGGGGGCCCTCCGAGAGGCCAGGGCGGGGGGCCTCTCAGAGGCCTTCCTGCGAGGGGAGCCAGCCCGAGAG